GTGGGGCGCCGCTACTTCGGCTTATCAAGTAGAAGGTGCTTGGAACGTAGACGGAAAAGGATTAAGCATCTACGATGTTATTACTCACGCTACACCGGATCAATTCCACAACAAGACTGGAGATGTGGCATGCGACAGCTACCACAAGTACAAGAAGGACGTGAAGATTTTAAAAGAGTATGGAGCCAAAGCGTATAGGTTTTCCATCGCGTGGAGTCGCGTCCTTCCTAACGGAACGACAGATCACGTGAACCAGCTCGGAGTTGCCTACTACAACCATTTAATCGACGAACTCAAGAAAAACAACATCGAGCCGCTTGTAACATTGTATCACTGGGATCTGCCCGACGTCTTCCGAGCGATCGGGGGCTGGACCAATCGAAGCATGATCGACTACTTCAACGACTACGCCCGATTTTGTTTCGACAAATTCGGGGGCAAAGTGAAGTACTGGATCACACTGAACGAGCCCGCGATTGTCATGTTACGTCATCCGTTCTACATGTTCGGGTTCATCTCGAATAAAACCAAGCTATCGACTCTACGCTACCGCACGGCCCACAATCAAATACTTGGCCATGCAAAGGCCTATCAAACCTACAAGAAAAACTTTCAAGCTGAGCAAGGCGGAAAAGTAACGCTTGCCTTAAGCTCCGGCTGGGCTGTGCCAAAAACTGACTCTGCCAAGGACAAGGCCGCCGCTGACCGCTACATGCAGTTTCATCTTGGCATCTTTGCCCATCCCATATTCGTAAATGGTGATTACCCGGATGTTGTTAAAAACATCGTGGGCAACCGCAGCGAGGCTGCTGGGATTGCCAGTCGTTTGCCAAGTTTCAGTGAGGAAGAAAAAAACATGGTGAAGGGAAGTTACGATTTTTTTGGCGTGAATCATTACTCCACCGATAAAGTGGCCGACAAACCTGCAGGAGACGAGCTTTCGTTCAATGCTGACGAGGCATTCGCCAAGAGCGGAGACCCAGCCTGGCCGGACTGGCCCAACGGTCACGTGGCTCCCTTTGGATTCCGCAAGCTGTTGAAATACATCAAAGACAATTACAATGATCCAACAATTATCGTGACTGAGAACGGCGTGGCGCCGCCTGGAGAAGCGAGCAAGACCGGAGAAGACCGGTTGAATGACGTTTTCAGAGTGGACTACCATAAAAGGTAAAGACCGCACACGTATACGAGTGTAAAAATATTCCCCTTTCTAATCGGGGAGTATCCTAGTCTTGTACCCGGTGCCCGCTCCGCCTTAGACCAGCGGTCTAGCAATCAGCAATGTACAGCACAAATAATTATCCAAGGTAATTTTGTTAGATTCCAATAGAGTCTAACCAATCATTTGGACGTCAAGGCTCTCTCTCTTAACTCACTTATATCGTTTTTTTTCTAGTAACTTCTCTTGTTGCAGTTTACTGCTGCGTCACGGGTTACGCATCGTGAAAAGTTTAGCCTAAATTTATCAATATTTAACACAATTTCCCTACATAACCCTGCTAGAACAAGCTCAATTTTAAAACTATTTAGTACGTTACAAAGTGATCCCTTTATGTAATAGGTTCTTATCAGAACACTCTTTGCGGGGTAGGAAGTGATATCGGCTTGGATGAGGACATCCTTAAAGGCTAGATCAAGTGACGAGCCACAATGCTTTTCACTTGTGAGCTCTCGTGGAATTTGCTCACATCATCACCAGAGTCGACCAGGGTATTCTCTCGTTTAACATGTACTTGAATTGATGTAAAGCGTTTCGTGTGCTGTCAGCTACTTTGACAAAGCGCTGTCGCTTGCGTGATCCCCGTTTCGATATTAATACTTTGTTTTTTTGCAGGTACACCAACGAGATGTTAAAAGCGATCATTGATGATGGCGTCAAAGTGAAAGGATACATGGCGTGGACTTTGATGGATAACTTCGAGTGGGGATCGGCCTACACCACCTCCTACGGGCTCCATTTTGTCGACTTTGACAACGACCGTAACTTGACACGTGTTCCCAAGAAGTCGGTCAGCTTCTTCAAACAGCTGATAGCTGACAATGGGTTTCCTGATCCAGACACGGAATCCAAAAGTTCAAATGCGCTGCCCAAGGCTACTGTTATTTTCGCTTTTATGACCGGGTTGATTGTTAAAACTTATTAACTGGGTCGCTCGTTGGTCATATTTTAGTTACACAATATATATATAACCCCAGGGGAGGTACTCTCATATATAGGTTACATGTGCCGCGGGACAAGTTCTGGTTTTAAGGTTCCGCTCCATCCTTAAATAAAGTATTATTTCTGGCCCTGTTAACATTGTGTTCCCGGTGGGATCCTAATTAGATGGGGTATCTAAATTGAATCAGCTAAAATTCCAGTGCGTAAATGCCCAGCTAAACGAAAACCAATCCTATGCTCGATGCTTAACTTCCAATGTTACAAAAGACGAAATAAAGCTAACCCATTCACGCCATCCTCAGTTTCTGTGTTCCTCTTGAACAGCTTGTCATTGAACAGCGTGTCATTTTTCGGGTTTGTGCCGATTAATCAATTTACGCTTGCTTCATTCTTAAATAGGGTCAGGGTTTAAGACCCTTTATGGCACATACCTATCCGAAATTTTACAGGAGTACCCCCAGGATATATACGGGTAGCCTTGTTTTCATGTTAGAGAAATCAGCGAAGTATAGTATAGCATAGGATATCATTTTTCGGGAAACTTATCCGTGGTAAGAATTTTAGTTTACACTGGTGGTTATTCTTAGAATTGAAAGAACTTATCATGCCAGTAGAAATACAAATCATTACAGCAGCTTAAATAGCAGCGGTGTTGGTTTGTTTTATGCAAAATCGCGAATCTGCGACAGAGTTGCAACAAGACCTCCTCCACACTTGAGAACGCAGCTTTATTTCTACGGTAAGGTCTACCGTCCACACTAATCCGTTTCGAATACAGAGCTTTTCGAAAACGTTCTCCAAACCGGAGGAATTTAAAAACGCCGGCTTTGAGTTTTCGTGTGGACGGAAAACATTTTGAAAACAGAACTTTTCGAAAATGACGTTACGATAATCGTGTGATTTCCCTGACCGAGTTTTCCTCAAACACAAATCCAAAATGACTGGTGATTGTTGCGATTTTAAATTCCTCTGGCCTAGTGTGGACGGAAGACATTTGATGCGTTTTCAGAGTAAAACCTTCGTTTTCAAATTCCTCCAGCGTAGTTTCGAAGGGGGCTAAAATGAACTGATCTAAATATTCTTAAAGTAACCCGGAATGCCACGTACGGTTTACAGACAAGGTTTTGGTTGATTTTGAGAGGTTATTAATTAAAGCGTAAGTAGATAACAGTAAACCTTATGGGCTTTAACTTTGACTAAATTTTTGCATGCGTATAGTAGCTTGTGTGAAAATGTCTCAACTAGTTCATTTAATGTGACGGGGTAGGGTGCCGAGGGTAAAAGAATACATGTCATACATAAATGGATGGAGAATTGCATGTTATGTATTACTGGATATGCCTGGTTTTGCACAGTGGGTTGACCAATCAGATTCTATTCAAATCGATCACCGCACAGAATCAGAATGGGCTGTTGACATAATGGCGGGAAGAAAGAGAACCTATACTTTGATCATAGAAAGTTCCTTTATCGCGCTCTTTCACTCATGAAAGTTTGGTAGAACTCGAAAAAGGTGTGGAAACACTTGTCTGAGGCCCGTGTTCCCACAGCAGTGTCGTTGTCCTAAACCTTCGCTCGCGTTTCGATTTAAACAATAGAGTGCTTTTTTCCGTGTTTACATAGCCTCATCTAAAACACGAGGGAGGCTGGGGAGAATTCGAGACAGTTGTGACAACATGAGGCACAGTCGAGGGTTTGCAAAATCCCCAAGTGTTTAGATTAGTCTATGTAGACACGGATAACGTCCTCTATTGCTTTTATAAAATATTCCTAAACAGGCGTGTATCTAAAACGTTACAACCGTGTCTACATATTCTCATCCAAACACACCTATCGACTAATGTGAGCGCGAAAATGATCTCAGATATTTCATAAAACAGCATTTAAATATATTATTACTATTCAACACCAAACTGGAACTGTCGTATTTCATTTAGAAGGTCGGGTCATATTCCGCATTTATTTCATTTATATTCTTTTTAAGTGAACACTTTTATAAGCTTAATTTCATTTTCATTATTTCTAGTACAAAAATAATAATAATCGCGAGCATTTTTGATAAATAGACAGGGTTATTATTCATTTGTCACATGATAACATAGATATTTTTTTTTCATATACATTTTGATAAAAAAACAATATATTCTTTATAAAAAAAACCGATGTTAAAAATCGACTAGGATTAAAAAATACGAAAATGGAATACTAAGTGCCTGGTACAAATTGTTAGTTAACTCTCTAATTTCAGAGTGATACAGCGTCTAATATATACTTACAATATGAATACATTGACATAAGATGCAAGACCCCAAGGGGATGATATCTCCCTCTTACTGGAAGACGAAAAAGACCCTTAAACAAGGTACACATTTAAGGTGCGACAAGAGGAAAACAATTTAAAGGCGTACCAGTTCGAGGTCGATTAGAGGTAAATAATTATTGTAAGGGCGACTAGAGGTACAAAATTAATGTCCACTGGAAGTGCAAAATTAGGGGCAAATAGAAGGGCAAAGGTTAAGGGGGCTCTAGATACACACAATAAAGGGACCGATTTATTAAAGGGCAAAACCTTTCCATTGACCCAACGCGTATTTTGTCACTAAGCTAGTCTATATTCGTCACCGGGCGTGGTAGTTTCCGGCGAGTCGTCATTAATTATGTCAGTTCCAAGTCTTCTATTCATAATTATATCACCCAGGAGGCCTTTCACGGGTGCATCTGGGACGTGGGGATCTGGGTATGTAAGTATGTCTCCTTCAGAGGCTGACAAAGCCAGGTCCCAGGTGCGCGAGTTAGGCCTGGAACCTTCCAGAACAAGGGGATCTGTACTCCTAAGAAGACCTCGCTCTGAAGTTGACGGTTTAGCATGGGGGTCTGGGCTCCGAAGCAAACCTCGCTCCGAAGATGACGGGGCTAGGTCCCAGGCAGGCTGTGCGCGTGACCCGCCAACTGCGTTGAGCCCAGAGTCTTTTCCACGAGCCATCCGGTGTGAAAGAGGAGGACTAGTTGCCAAAGCGAAACCTTCGTGGCCAGGGTATACCACAGATCTTCGAAAGAGCCCTTTGGTTCTGCGAAGATGTGATTTCTTCGTCTTCCTCCTCAACTCCTGATCTGGCGTGTTGCAAGTTGCTGTCTCTGTGGAGCTTCCGCCATTTGTAGTGTTAGGGCGTAGTGCCGACGCCTCTTGGCCCCGTCGCGGATGGGTACGCGCCGCGCCGTACATAGTCTTTGGTCTGATGGGCTCAGGATCAGGGCACTTAAGAAGTGAATGGCTAGAACAGAAGGAAAGATCCTGGCTGCAAACTCCATCTGAAGACAATGAACTAACAAAGCTTGCTCTCGTTTCATCACGCAAGGAAACGTCACGTAAGGTACCGTCACGTACGATAGTTGCACGCACCGTACCATCGCGCATATCGCCAACATGCCAGACACCATCACGCAAGACGCCACCACGAAGCTCGCCATCACGTAAGACACCAGAACGCAAATCGTCTTCGCCCAAACCAACTGATCGACGCTTAGGTGTTAGACCTTTCTCCCCGTAATCCGTGAAAAGACCGTTGTTCCTATCCATCTCGTAACAGCTTGAACACGAAGGATCTTCAAGTTTCCCAGGTTTCTCACTGTGATACACGGCCATGTCAAGAGAACTGCAACTACCCAGAGTAAACTTAACAGGCCTGGTGCTAGCGTGGTGCCTAGGCCCCGGCGGCCACCCTGACGGGTCATAGAAGCCTGGGTACGATTGGTATTTGTTATAGTAGTCAGAGAGGTCCTGGGAACTGGAACTAGAGAGTTGCCATTTCGCAGCGGAGGTGTTACTGTGGTCACTGTCGTACCCAGTGCTACTCACTGGTGACGTGGGCTCCGCTTGGTACAGGTATTCCACATCCTCTTCTCTTTCTGAGAATGACACCAAGTCATCTGAGTTGGAGCGGTCATTGAACAATTCCGAACCCATAAGGTTATCCATTCGCAATGACAACTCGTCAAGTTGATCCTGTACTTCATCCAGCACGTGCTCCTAAATAGCAAAGAGATCACGTTAGATCAGATGCAAACCATTCCAAAATAAAGGAGCTTCATCACGGTTTGCGCGTCTTGAAACGTTTATCCTGAAGTTTTCAAATTCGTCGTTTGTAATCCGTGTTAATCTTCTCCATCCTAAACCATCCTTGTTCCTCTCTGGTTTATCATTATCTTTTTGGCGTTTTTCTATCTTAGTAAACTACTATTTTCAGGTTTCCTTCAATTTAAAGGTAATTCTGTAGGGGGCCAAAATAACTCAAAATACGGCGACTGAGCTCCTTTAAGTGGCAGGTACCGTGGCCCAATATATCTTTTGTATATCGGTTGGTCGTTCAGTCAGTCGTTCGGTCGGTAGATCGGTCGTTCGGTCGGTCGGTCGTTCGTTCGCTCAGTCGGTCATTCGGTCGGTCCGCCCGTCTGTTCGCTCTATCGATCGAACCTCCGTTCCTTCCCGCGTTCGTTCATTTACTTGTTCGTTAGTTGGTTTACCCGTCCGTCCGTCCAAAATATCAACCCTTACCATAGGAAAAGGAGCGTCGTTCTCGTACGCTTCCAACTCCTCGTCTTCATATTCCTCCTCATCTTCGTCTTCCTCCGATGTGGAATCTCGTCTTTCTCTTCTCTGGGTCTTCTCTCTCAGAGACTGTAACCTGTTAAGACACAGCAACGTTCAATATTTATTGAGGTGAAATCAGATGGGATAAAGAATGTGAGTTATTATAATTTTTTAGACTACAAAGCACCGTTCCTGCGTTTACAACCGTTCGCTATAAAAGTAACAAGAAGAATGAGAGCAACTTCAGCTTTCCCCGAGAGGAGTTTCCTACGCCATACAACAGCCGAAAAAGCTTCAAGCGTTCTTCTTTGGGCTCTAAATGTTCTTGGCTTTCTCGTCACTTCTTGCGCGCTTGTTAAGAATACTCCTGAAGCCTTTGTCGAGAAGCCGTCGTTTACATTTGCGCCATTAAAAAAACAAAACAAAAATGATCGAAAAAACAGTAACAAAACTATCACGCCAAGCTCGAAAGGGAAAGTTTTGAGACGTTCTTTAAACATTGCTTTGTATGGTTGGAACTTATCTACAGTGGCGAGTATGGTTGAATGACAATTCATGTGACTCTGTGACCCAGCCATACCGAAAGCGCGAAGTCTGACCTTTACGTTACAAAGTAGATATCATACGAAACTCTTAACTAGTTCATCTCCAGTTTGCTACAGTTGCTAGCTGTCTGCTGAAAGCCTCTACCAATTTATTCAGCGAATAGATAAAAATGATAAAGTCGGCACACGGGCCAAGTGGCCCATCAGGCCTGCGCTTGTCTCCAGTTTCTGTAGCATGAAGCGACTAGGAGTATTTCTACTCCCCCCTGGATGGGATGCTAGTCCATTACAGGGTTACGCCCCAGCATTAAATTCACCAGTACCCATTTATATGCACCTGCGCGGAGAGGGGCACTGTTAGAGTGAAGTGTCTCGCCCAAGAACACAACACAAGGTCCCCGGTCAGGGCTCGAACCCGGACCACTCGATCCGGAGACGAGCGCACTAACCATGAGGCCACCCTGCCGTGAATGCCTACGGCTAAATGGTGTTTGCTGCTAATGATGAAATAGTAGAAACGCGTTATTTCTGTATATGTATATATACTTACTTGCTCCGTACGAAGTCTTCCGCGAAATCTGCTAGAACCTTGCTTCGTCTTTTCTTAGAATGTGGAATTCCACACATGAAAACAGCAGCCGTCTGCAGACATCACCGGTAAAATAAACAACAAATATGTCTACTGAGGAATGTTCCTCACTTAACACGGCCTTAGCGGTGCCGGAATTCGCCCTTTCCACATCCCCCATAATACAGATTGTTTGCCCCCCAAAAATTTTGCATAAGCATTGTCTTCAGTTTCTCTTGGGACGACTGTAACACCCAGGGAAAATGGGGAACAAAGGTTATGCAGAATTTTGGGGGGATGTGGAAATGGCGAACAGGCCACATTCATATTCTCGGTACTGGACTGGAACAAGCTTGCAAGTGAGGCTAATATACGGGGAGTCTTTTCAAATGCAAATGGCGTAAATCTCTTTCAATGATATGCCCGCGCATGAGCCTCCATTACAAACTAATTCGAGTCCAATACCGAAAATGCGAATATGGCCTATGCAAACTCAATTTGCATTGGTAATTAATATCCTGGGGATTTTGCAAAAGACGGTATAAAAGAATTTGCACGTCTTCCAGCCCATCACTCTCCTCGAGGCCGCGAAAGTGGAGAGGATGGCGACCTACCCTCCCACCCAATGAATACGTCGGGCTTGATCTAGCTGTCCGCTTCTATATTTTCGCCTGGTCTTGGACTTGTCCCAGGCTAAGGCGATTCCCCATAACTTATTACCATGTCATGAATAACAATACCCAGAGTAGAATATTACACCGCACAAATGCGTGCTTAGATGCTAACTAATGCTCTTTGACTTACCGTCCCCCTCATAAAAACGTAGAATCCTACTAAGAACAGTCCGAAATAAAACAAAACCAACACCGGATGCTGCTCGACCATGGGGCCCTGGTAATGATTCACGCCTTCCAAGCGGAAGAAACTGCTGACCAGCAAGAACGTCTCGCCAAATGACTTGAACGCCGAGTGAAGGCGACCAAACAACAAGTGTCCCGTATGAACGAAAGCCATCATGAACGTAACGATCAAGACCTGCAAACATAACACAGTCAGGTTGGTTCAACCTTCAAATTCTCCTTACCGACCGCCATACATTTTCATATAGATCTAGTAGGGAGAAGTTGTAGCAGATAAAGGAGAACAGAAAGCCGATCTTCCTCGACTTCCTAGGTGTCTTTTCGCCGAGATCAGTAGACCTTTTAAGCTTGGGCGGTTTGTATTCCCATTACAGACCACATGATAATTATTCTCTAGAAAATTTCTTTTTTTAATTCATCCAAAAATTTTACATCCATATACACGCGACCAAATTACTTGCAAAAAAATGCGGACGTTTTATTTTCGGACACTCTTTTTGTCCGAAATTAAAATCGTCTCAAATTATATTATATTTGAAAATTTGAAAGCAGGAATTCTCAAGTGCATCATCACCTGGTCTGAAATGAGGCAACAAACAGCCCAAGGTAAAAAGATCTGTTTTCGGCTCGAGTGATAAGGGAAAGAGGTTGGTCTTTGCTTTCTCCTTCTCAAACTCATTAATGCTTCATCAAGTGAAACAAAGAAAATAACAACGGTAAAGGGGGTTTGGATACCCGGTCTTAATTAGCATGGATTTTGATGATTTTACTTCTCCGTTTACTCCTTAGTTTTTGTTTCGGTTGAGAAGATACATCAAACACTCGAGACTGTGTTTCATCAGCTATTCACACATCTCGAATTTCGTCAAAAGTACTCCGCTGCGTGTCGTATTTTCAATTCTCTTCTCGGTGTTTGATATCCCGACGAAACACAGCCTCTCGTGTTTGATATATTACTTCATTTCCTCTTGATTTTCACTTTTGACAGGACTTACACTTTTAAGATTTCAAAATGGAGAATGCGCCAGTTTTCACTTGCTGCTAACAAATGTACTTGACTCGAACGCCGGATACCATTGTGCGTTTGGCAATAACCTGGCTAGCCTAGAGGGCTCCCGAATTTACACTTGCATGACGAACCTCGATGTCACCATTCCTCTCGTATTTTATCTACCGTAATGATTTGATTTAACGCACTCCTTTCAATAAGCGACCTTTTTCTAATAAGCGCTCCCCGCTGAGCGCCGTTTCTTAATATTCCAGTAAGCGCTCCCTTCCAGTAAGTGCCCAAATAGCAGTAACACTCACGACTGATTAGACGAATGAGCTATGAAGTCTGCTTTCTCATCTCAGCGCAATATTGAACTTTATGACTATCAGGCCCTCTATTGTTACAGTTCTTGAGTACTAATACTTCCATATGAAAAAGACGGGGATGTTCGTCATCTCGCTTAGGGGTGTAAATCAAGGATTCTGCTCTCACTTAGGATGTTTATGACGAACACCACTATTTTCAGCTGTCAAAGCAATTTTTAGGATGCACTCAAAGAAATAATAGTAATAAAACGCTCTTATTTCCGTTTTTAGGTTCGATTTCCGCCGGCATCTCGAGTCCGATCTCCTAACCCGGGCTCCTTTCTTGAAAGGCGGCAAGAAGTCGTGCCTATTCCGTTTAAGTGGTATCTTTTACAGCTCAAAGAAAGCTCGAGCCACGCCCAGATTGTTATCCTTTAGGGGCTTAATTCAAATTTCCCGACGGGTATCCCCGACTTTCCCATATGGCAGTCCCCCCGGGTGTTTTATACCCCTAGATACTCACCGTGCAGGCAAGCAGACGACCCGACACAGATGCCAGGTATTCACCGAGGCGCGCCATGCTTCGAAATGATCTCAACAGATACACACAGCGGATAATGAGAAAAAACAGCAGAAGGGAATACGAAGCTTGGAGAGTATCCTGTTGAATGAACAAAACAAATTCAGACCCTGACATAACAAAGTCAGAACCAATTAGATAGAACTTACAACAGTTTGGGAAATATCAATCATAGTTTGTATGGGAAACACACACGGCTTAACTCAAAGGAGCTCAGTCAAGGCATTTTGAGTTATTTTGGCCATGTACAAATTACGTTTAAACTGACGAAAACCTGAAAATAGTAGTTTATTAAGACGGAAAACAACAAAGAGATAATAATAAAACCATAAAGGAAAAAGGGCGGTTAAGAATGGAGAAGATTAATACGGATTACAAACGACGAACTTGAACAATCTAGGCTAAATTTTTTAAGATGCCAAACCGGGTATACTGTTGAGAAGACCATGCTAAACACTTTCTTATTTTCTTCTTTGTTTCCTACCGAAAACATCCAATATAGTATGAATGTTTTCACGCATTTGTCTCGTACATAGAACTTCGATTTACGTAGTGCAAACATGAAACATCATATAGCCAGTTGTCTCGATATAACTCAGTTGTTAGAACACTGCATTGGTTTCGCCGTGGTCATGGCTTCGAATCCTGTTTAACAGCCTGAATTTTCTTACAGGCTTATTTCCGCAACTGCCTAAGATGCGTTAGCTTAGATAACTGTGACGATCTCTCATTTCTTGAAAACTATCTCCTCCATTTTAAACAAAAGATGCTTCATATTATTCACGTAACAATCTGTCGAATTTGTAAGTAGAAAATTTGTGCTCGCACTACGCGTAAGTTGTACTCTAAGGGGTAAAAAATAAAGTCTGCATACGAGCCAAGTGGCCCATCAGGCCGGAGCTTATCCCGGTTTCTGTAGCATGAAGTGACTGGGAGTATTTCTACCCCTCCCTGGATGGGATGCTAGTCCATCGCAGGGTTACCCCCAGCATTTAAGTCGCCGATACCCATTTCTAACCGTGGGTGGAGAGAGGCACTGTGAGAGTAAAGTGTCTTGCCCAAGAACACAACAGAATGTCCCCGGCAGGGGCTTGAACCCGGACCGCTCGATCCGGAGTCGAGCGCACTAACCACGAGTCCACCGTGCATTCCACAAATGGGAAGTGTACACGGAGTTAATAGTCATTGGATTTCTATATTTAATTTTATTTACACCACCATCTTTACCTGACTCATAGACACCAACTGAGCGTAATAGAACACTTGTGATTGGCTTGTCGTCTCCACCTCTCGCAACAGAGCATACAAGGATATTGACCAGCGGATGTACACCACCACACACAGGCTTGAAATGGCAATTGTTAAAAGCTGAGATTGAGAAAAGGACAAATCAAAATAAAGCTAGCAAGAGGATTTGGGTATGACGCCAATATTGTTTACTCCCGCGAGAATTAAAGTGGCGTTTGGCTTAAAGAAAGCTCAGTTACCTGTGTTAGTCGCCAAACGCTCGTGAAGTACTTTTTGGACATTTTCCAAGCCAGGAAGAACTCATGTTGGAGAAGATATAACAGGAGAACACCAAACAACAACTGAAACGAAATCAGCAACATTTAGTTGATGAGTCAGACTTTGCAAAAATAACGCGAGTATCTGTAACAGTGTCGTGTTCTTGATAACGCCGCGTTTATTTGATTGGGTTTCCTTGTATGACTGAATCTAGACTACGAGTAGTCCCTCTTTCGCTTAGTCCTCGAGGTTTTCTTTCGCGTCACGCGGGACGGATCAAGCCAAAGAGCGACTACTCGTAATCTACACTGAATATTCTCCTTTATCGCATTTCATATTGAATTTTGTCCTAAAGATGATCAACTCAGTGTTAGCAAACATGCCTTGCTCGATTTTTGCACAGGTATGATCAATTTGGTAAGAGGACTTTATGTTGTCCAGTTCTGTCTATATCTCGTAATTATACAAATCGGAGAACCGCTACGCATTCGTCCAGTTTTGTGTCACAAAACAATAGGTTAAATGAGTAAAACAATGGCTGTGCACGTGCGTTATTAAGCACTTAATGACTGGTCCCAAGGGAAACACTGAGTTTTGTTTCCCCGAGGCCCTCAATGTTCGAGGTTTAGGGGAAACAAAACTCACTGTTTTCCGCGGGACCGGTCATTAAGTATTTTGTTATACCTTCCAACTCAAAATAGAAAAAAAACTGCGAAGAAATCGTTTGCTCGAGGCCTACTGGCTCACAAATTTGCCGCGGTTTCAAGGAGCACGATCTGATCACGTGCGAGTCGAAAGTGCAAGTTGTTGTTTCCCTAGGGAGTTAGAGAGTTTTGCTCGCCCTAGGGAGTTAGTGAGTTTTGACCCACGACACGTGACACGTTCTCCTCCAATCGAAAAACGTATTTGAGTTGGGAGGTATAACAAAAATCTTTGTACATTTCTTTGCCGTCCTCTGCACAACACGTTCTAAGTTCTGCGTATTTTGGAGAACGCGAACGACGGCGACTAATTTTTCGTATTTTCATTTGGAAATGAACGCTGGCGTTACGTAATTAGCTTGAGCAAGTTCTGAGACTAATAGGCGCACCAAACAGATCTAAACAATTGCGAAATTCGAAGGTAAAATATGAATTCATTTTTTTAAAGGTGCTGTCCTCGTGGTCGCCGTCGTCATTGCTTAAGCTCTCAATTATTTCCTCGTATGATTACAGACCGAATTAGACCATTCTTACTTAACACTTCGCAAGGATAGAAAGCTCCTGTAATAAAGGGGTGAAATTCACTAATTTATCTTTACCAAGCCAATAGTTGCTTGGTAGAGAGTTGTGTAAACACGTACGCACCTTGCAGACTCGTAAGAAGTAACCTTGTTCTCTTGACGCGAAAAACGCAGGGAATGATTTTAATTCCAAGTGGCACCTCGGTCTTCCAGTAAATGACGCCTTTATGGACAGAGTGGCAGCGCTGAAATGTTGAAAAGAAAATCACGATTATCAATTAATGGGTCAATTAGTCCATCAACCTTTTAGTCGATCGGCGCACGTCTCTCTTCGTTTTCGATATTTTTTACAACGAACCATGTTTTCTCGTCTGTGGTACGGACAATCACACTACTAGATAACGAGACCGCTCTTACAAACATCTTCACAAATAAATGCTAGTGTTTGGCCCCCTTGGAAACTCCCAAAATGTTTGGTGCGGGTATGCGGTATGCTTCCTGACACCACTACCCAATTCCACACTAAAACATGTCATAGCTTGCCAATTTGAATACCTAATACAAAGGTTTCTAGTACATGACCTCAGCTAACCAGGAATAGCTTTCATTTGCATCAGGACTTGAGAGAGGCTTTAATTTACCCAGTGAGCAATCATATCCAAATCAAGAGTGCAAAACCTACCCTATTTGGAGCCAAAATATTCAAAATCTATATCCAATTTCGCAGCGCAACGGCAAAGAACTCTTCTCTTTCAGGACAGTACAAACGTATATATCATAGCTTGTCCTTCCCCACCGCCCTTGCGGCACCTTAGTCACCTTCGACCTTACCTAATGGCACGTAAAAACGGTGTATACACTGCAAACTCCAAAGTTATTTCACGTGTACACTCATTTATCCACTGTGAATCTGTGATCTCCTTCAGTTGTTTTGCAGACTCCTCGCTGTAAAGAAATGAAGCAATTAAACTACTTCTGGAGAATAAACCCCCAAATTGGTCATTGATAAAAAAAAATCACTATTGTTAATGTGTTGCTCATTGTTACACTTCTGCAATACTACTTTAAACAGATCTACAAACCAAGGAGCTGACATAACAGTCTTGTTAAAGATTTTTTTCTCAATTAGGACGTTTAAAACACGAACGAAACATCTTGCTACAAGAAAAGGGAACGATTGCCGCCAGATTTTGTCTGAGTGTCTATCCTAGGTAAGCCTACATACGAGCCAAGCGGCCAATCAGGCTGGAGCTTATCCCAGTTCCTGTAGCATGAAGTGACTAGGAGTATTTCTACTCCCCCCTGGATGGGATCCTAGTCCATCGCAGGGCTACCCCCAGCATTAAACTCGCCGGTACCCATTTATACACCTGGGTGGAGAGAGGCACCGTGAGAGTAAAGTGTTTTACCCAAGAACACAACACAATGTACCCAGGCAGGGCTTGAACACAGACCGCTCGATCCAGAGACGAGGGCACTAACCCTGAGGCCACTAACCCTGAGGCCACCGCACCTCCGTTTACCCTAGACAGAGAAAGGACGAAAAGTAAATACAAAACATACCTCGTTTGATTAAGTTTCAGGCTCATCCACGCACCGTCACTAGCGTGACATTGCGCGTGACAAGCTGTCTGGTTACCACTTCCGGAATGCTCATCACAAACCTGGGGAAAGCGTAGATGTGAAATCATTATCAATTCTTTTCTGTAAACTCTACCACAAAGAACTTACATGAGATCAGTCATTTACCAAAACTGCTTATCTGTAAGGTATCTTATCTACGACTACAGTTTATCAAACCGCAATTATTAAACTCTCATTACTTTGAAAGGACAGAAGATTTTGAGAATGACACATCGGATTATCGCACTAGAAAGGGTCTCAGCCCTAGTCACGCTATCTTTGGTGATTTTGTCACGTCAGATCAAGAAACTCTGTCACGCGAGATTGCAATACTTCGGGTGATTAAGAATGCTAGAATGTCATGGGAAAAAAAAAAACAGTGGATAAACTTGGCAAAAAAAAGAGGAATTACAAATTTGATGTTTATTCACAAAAACGTTGGCAATACCATCTCAGTCTATTACTATTGCACATATATATTTAACAAACTTCGAAGGCTTCTCTGCAAACGTTATCATCTAAAACCCGTAGTTCAGCGCTATTATAAACTGTCTGCAGCTCAAATAACATATGACATTACCCTCAACACGTCAGTCCTGTACTGCGTGATGGTTGTTCGACCAAACAGGAGACTCTGACTGTCGCGCAATAAGATCTGAAGGAGAGAATTGCAAACAATTTTACAACGTTTACAAACTTTTATACTTTATTATTATTACTATATTGTACGTTTCCACTCGAGGAAAAGAGTTAAGTTCTGTTTTAGCAAGACAGGATGAAAGCTGAGAGAGTTAATCCCAAGTATAAAGCTTATTCCCAAGGTAATCCCTGTCAAGGTCTTTCAGCCATGGTACCCAGTTCTTCCTCAGAAACTGTTCCCACGAGCGTTACGTGAAGGTTTTCGTGGAGGATGACAATACGCGTAAAGGCGCATGCGCTGTCCACTCGAGAAAAATCCGCGTCGTAGGATTGGCTATTTCGCGACCCTCTTGGGATTTGATCTAAAAATAACTCGCGAGGGATTACTTTGGGAATACCGTCCATACGGACAATAACTCTTACTCTCCTCATCCTCTCTTGGTTATAGTCGCTATGTTTGAAGTAACATATCAAACTTTCATCGGGATATACAAACACCGAGAAGAGAGTTGAAAATACCACGCGGAGTGGAGTATTTTTGACGAAATTCGAGGTATTTGGATAGCCGATGAAACACTGTCTCGAGTGTTTGATGTATCGTCTCAATCGAAACAAAAACTAAGTAAAATCGTAAAATCGTCAAAATGTGTGCTAATTAAGACCGGGTATCCAAACCTCCTTCACGGTTGTGATCTCCTTTGTTCTAACTAAATGAATTATAAATGAGTTTGAGAAGTTACCGTCAGCACGGCCGCATTAATACATACCGTGAGTGGTGTGTACGAGGATGAAGCGCTGTTTTCGTACAGCGCGGCAGAAATCTCGTCCCACGCATCTTTAACACTTCTTGGGGCAGTCCGCCAGGCGTCCTCTGACCTGCAAAATGGCGGATGGACAAACTGGCATCACAATTGTGGTTCTTCACCTTAATAGCAAACAACTGCCTGTACCAGTCCTAGCTCTTGTGTCATTTCTGCCAGGGTAACCCTTCACTCTTTCCTAGAAGGATCAAGGGTGACTTCGACAAGATGGTGGGCTGCTGTAAGTTATTAATTAATTAAGACAGCAATAAAATTGACAAAGTGGGATGATACAGAGTATCAAAGGAAATACCCCGCGAAGCAAAAGTTACTTATTTCTTCCTGAAAAAATGTTTCGAACATGAGCGATAAACCTAGTCATGGAAATAGTTCTGTTTTCTTGACTGATAGTTTGATTGACTTGATTGATTGATTGATTGATTGATTGACAGACAGAGAGACAGAGAGACAGAGAGACAGACAAACAGATAGACTGAAAGACTAACAGAAATACCGACAGACAGAAGAGACTGTCAGAATGACTGACAAATAGAAGAGACTGACAGACAGAAGAGACTAACAGACAGATAGAAAGACAAACAGACAGACAGAAAGACAAACAGACAGACAGAAAGACAGGTAGACTGACAGAGAGACAAACAGACAGGCTGGCTGGCAGACAGACAGACAGACAGAAGAGACTGACAGCAAGACTGACCAAAAGACAGACGGATAGACAGACTGACTGACTGACTGACAGAAGAGCCGACAGACAGACAGACAGACAGATAGACAGATTCAAGAAGCATCTACCCCATACCTAATAAACGCCTTCTTGATAGACTGGTTTAGACGATACACATCCGGACTCATGACGCTTGCTGCTAACAAGCACGTGACCAGAAAGAACAGAATGAAAACCATCAGCTCTCTGAAAGACAATAAAGTTACAATCAGACAGGATTCACCATTACCGCGGTTCTGTTAGCCTCCATGCACAAACTATATACCATTGTCACCTTTAATTGTTATACATGTATCTTTTTTTCTTTTTTATGCTAATATTGTAATTTCAAAATGTAAGTGCAAAATAAAGTGAAGTTTGAAGTTTGAAGTTTGAAATTACCTCACAATACTATACCGTATATCCTCGAAGTAGCGCCCGGGACACTTATTTCAAATTTAAGAGAAGACGGGGGGGCGCTTATTTAATTTTTCCCAAACCGTGGCCTGACATTATCATTCTTTTAATACATCATCTGCGCGTAAACACTAACATAAGCTGTTTATTGACATAAAAAAGCTGATCCTAAAGTTTAAATCGCGGCACCTTTAGTACTTGACGTGTTCAACGTGTTCACTAAACGTGTTTGCAAACTGAAACAATGTACAAATCTAATACATGACGAAAACTTTACATCCTTTGTCTCATTACTCGTCAAAAAAATGGGGGGGGGGGGCGCTTATTTTAAATTTCGGCCGATAGGAGGGGCGCTTAGGTAGCGCTTTGGTAGCGCTTAGGTACGTGTAAAGTTCGGCGTCTGGATCAGCTATGATCAACACTTTAGTACTTGGGTCGACCTCAAATAAAACGGTTAAAGTTCGACTTCGATTCAGACATCGAACTTTTGCCAAATCTAATGCATACATTACGGATAAATAATATAAATTATATTTTACCCCAAAGATGTTGTGTCGAATTAAGTTCGACAACAGTAGATTCGACGTTTGAATAACTTTCGAACTTAAGGCGGGGGTCTACCTGAATTTAAGTGAAGTTTTAGGAAGTTTAAAGAGGGATTAAAAGGAGAAAAAAAGTTTTGGACCACACCAGACAGTTGAACACCCCCCAAAAGGGCACCCCAGGTTGGTGGACAACTGTTTGGTGTACATCTACCAATTTTTAACTTCAAATTTTAATTTTAAAATAACATCATTTGCAGCAATCCCAGGCATGTCGGTGTTTAGCTAATAGGAACTGCTTTTCCATCGTGGATTGTGCACCCAACAAACTACAACCTATGTTGAAGGAAGCAATGCACATCAAATGGGAGAATCCACTTTAAATAAGAAGCTGAAACATGCTGACTAAACTCTCTCGTTCTGATATTATTCTTTAAGTATATACATTTATTTAGTACCAGTTTATTTTATATTTTTTGTTCATAACATTTTGTGTTATAATCATTGTAATTATTTCCATTTTTTACAATTTTCTTCCTTTATTAAGTGTAGTGCTCGCGTAAGTGTTATTCCATGTCTCGCGCTTCTTAAAATTGTACGTCAATTTTTTCAAAATTTTGCACTGTATCACCTTTTACTTATAAGCCATTGCTTGTATTAATTCAACCGAACTTGTAAACTAATTCGCAACTGAAAATGATCGTTGAACGATCGAAACATGGCTTGTTTTAAACTTAAAGTTGTTTTCCATTTCTTAAAAATAGTTACTTGCCTATTATCCAGACCAAAATAACATCAAATCTTCCAAATTTCCTTCTTCCATAAACTTTACTAATCCTTTCAGAAAAACTTTTTATCCCCAGATATACCCAAAAATCACCAAAAAAATTACAAAACAACCCAAAACGTAGTTGTGTGGGATGAGCAAGAGATTTTTGACTGCTTGAAACGTGACCGTGATATTTGCGTTAAAACCATAATACCCAGCCAAAATACGGCCTTCATGTTAACCCCCGCTTTAATTATTTAGGCATTAGTTTTGGCAAATAAAATATAGATTTAGCCAAGCCTAAAAGCGGAGCTGCTGGGCCAGGTTGTTCAAAGCCGGATGCTAACTCAGGATAGGCGAGAATTTGCAGTTGAGTTTTGTAACTTTGTGGTGAGGTTTTCTGTATATTGTTTGGCCTTCTGTTTTGAGTTTGAACAATCCCAAAATACACAAAACAATAGCAGTGAAAAACATTTGTCCACAAGAAAAATTTATACTTCGGTTAACTTTCAATCCTGGGCTAGCGTTAACTGGCCTCCGAAACAACTCAGCCCTGTTTACAACAAGTTACCCTAACATGAGCCCGCGATCCAATCGAAACCAGCACTTGGTCAGCGGTCAACTTAAAAAAAACACGTGACCTCGATGAGCTCTAAACTTGAGCCCTCGATATGGTCACGTGATACCGGTCAGCGGATACCTTGTTTGATGGGTGTCAATTGACCAAAACATGGATGTTCAATATCAAAGAAGGACGTTATATGCCAAGGCTGCATTCTCTGCTGGAGTATGGCCGCTGGAGAATGGGGCTCCGTTATAAAGTACGATGTTTGAACCAAGCTGAGTATGTATCGTACCTTCGGGCGCTTTCTATTCGACCAAAAATTCCGAAATTTTCGAAACGGGGACAAATGGTACAGAAATTTCCTGGGAAAGGTCCCAGCAAATCCGGAAATTGTTAAATTTCCGAAAAGCGAACCATTCAACTGAAAATTCCGGAAATTCCAGAATGACATTCAAATGGAACAGAAATTTCCCGGAAAATTTGGGCATACCTCGCGAGGTTGTCCTCTTTTTCAAAAATTATGCTAATTCGCAATTTTCTATTCAACACTAGTTCTTTTGGCGGCGATCACCACGATCATCCCAGACAAAGATGGCGGCGACGTGTATTCGAAAATGGATTAACATTCTACTTGTCACTTGTCTGTCAATAAATACAAGCTGAAATAGACCGTTTTACAGTTGTCTGTTCAGTGACCTGGCCTGTGGATGGCAGCGAAGCTGGAGTTGACCTTGTTTCGATACAGACCTCACTGCTTTTGTCATGTAAATGCATCTAGTTAGCATCAGAACAACTTGTTTTACACAACAAAAGCAGTGAAGTCAGTATCAAAACAAGGTCACCTCCAGCCTCGCTGCCATCCAAAGGCCAGGTCACTGAGCAGACAACTGTAACATGGTCTATTCGTCAAGAAAGCGTTTAATTCCAATAATAATATACATGGAAAAAATACTCGATTCTGATTGGCTGAGAACAGTGCAGTTCAAGTGTAACATCAGTGCAAAAAGTGTAACACCAGTGCAAATTACACATCGTAATTCTGGATTATGATTTGGCTGAAAGACAATGGGAAATTTTTTAAGCCAATGATATCATGTAAAACGATGACCAAAACTTTGTACGGAAACTTTGAACTAAGTTTCGTCGAATGCGAAAAATGGCTTCAAGAAAGATCTCCCGGCACTTCCTCCACGCGAATTTGTTCATGTTTATATTATCAATAGGTAATCATACGGTTTTTCTCGTTCAATTTGGAATTAATTTGCACTTATGAGTTTTCAAAAAGCTCACTCGTGGAAATTAATTCCAAATTGAACGAAAAAAACCGTATGATTACCTATCCTAACAAAGCCCCCGTGGTGCATTTGTTTGTTTTGCACAGGTTAGCTAAGAAATGTACAAAGACTTATAACGCGTGCAGAGCCATTGTACCACTCATTAAACCCTTTGTTTTGCGACGTTTTCGGTGCCTTTGTGGTCTGTATAAGGTCCCTGCCGTCATGGGCTATGAAAAGTCACCGTGTCGACGTACCAGTGTTTTGTTTGCTTCTATATTTGTGATTTAAACCTCGAAGTCATTGAAAAATTCCAAGCGAACAAAGGTGTGAGTTATCGCTTTCCAATCTGGTGCTGTCAACCGGAAAGTTCCATTCCATTCGACCCAGAAAATTTCCGGAAATTCACACCGGAAATTTTGGTCGAGTGGAAAGCGCCCCGCAGATTTCCTCTCAGTTGTTTCACGCACACGTGCAACTTTTCGTAGAACAATGGAAATACAAGACGTCTACTTGAAGAGTAGTAGAGCTTAGGCAATGACGACGGTGTCCCCGAGGACAACGCCTAGTAAAAAATAAATTTATATTTTACCTTCGAATTTCGTAATTACCTAGATCTGTTCAGCGTGCCTATTGGTCTCAGAACTCGCCTAAGGTAAATATGAAACGCCAGCGTTCAATTCAAAATGAAAATATGATAAATTAGCCTCCGACGTTCGCGTTCTCTAAAGTACACAGAACTTAGTCATTTCACGTTGTTAGGGACCTGAAGCAAACCACGACGGCAACGGCAACGAGACCGTCGCCAAACAAAAGGTTTAATGAGTAAAACAATGGCTGTGCAAGCGCGTTATAAATGTTTGTAGCTCTCCACAATAACAACGTGAAATGACCACGTTCTACGTATTTTGGAGAACATTAACGACGACGGCTAATTTTTCGTATTTTCATTTGGAATTCAACGCTGGAATTAAATATTTAGCTTGATCAAGTTCTGAGACTGATATGTGTACTGAACAGATCCAGATATTTGCGACTGAAATTCGAAGATAAAAGACAAATTCTTTTCCTACTAGGCGTTGTCGTCGGGATTGCCATCATCACTGCTTTACTCTCCTTGTTGTTGTTTTGAAGCGGACGGCATTGAAATGTACGCACGTGTACAGCCATTGTTCTACTCATTAAAACATTTGTTTGGTGGCGTTCTCGTTGGCGCTGCCGTCGTGGTTTGCTTAAGCTCTCAGTATCGAATGTTCTCGTCCTTACTTCCGTGCTGATGCTTTGTGCCTCTGAATTATAACAACAGACGAAATACATACCGACCTTTGTAGCGTCAAGTGCTTGGTCACAAACGAACATGTCAACATGCCAACCTGTTTTGGAAGCTGGCTCGGTCCAATACTACTATAAAATACGGCTGTGTAGAATCCAAATTTGTAGCTAAGATTACGAGACTATCTGTTGCTAATGCCGGTCAGCAATTTTCGCGAAATTTAGTTCCTTTTTGAACAGGATTCTTTCTCTCCCATTTTTGCGCAATTAAAATGACTCGAAATGAGGCAACAACAAGGCACTTTTATTGTTAGACGCTGTGCTTTTGGTCAGGCTATTTGAAATTTCAAAGTTCTGAAAAGAACAAACTTCAAAAGGTTTTCCACAAATTTCTTTGTTTTGTTTCTACCTTCTTGACCTTGTAAAAAGCTTTTTCCGCAATCGAGTTTTGGTCGATAAATCGGTAAGAAATTGATACGCTACAATCCCACAAATTCTGGTAATGATACGCTCTTCGTTCAAATGAAGGGCGTTTTCGTCAAATTACTTTTTCTTTCAAAAAACTCGGAACGTATACAACAGCGAAATCAATTACCATTCGCAAGCAGAATATTAAATGGCTAAAATCACGCATTCCATTTGCCGGCAAACTTTCAAGAAAAAAATGTAAAGTGAATTTATGGTCCAACATCAGCTTCCACAGCCAAAAAACAAAACGTAAAGCGAGAACGTACTTCAGTGAAGAAAAGAAACCCTTTAAGTCATACATGCCGCTTGTTTTAGAATGTATAAACTTAATGTACTTGGCTACCTTTTGGAGATGCTGATACTTGTACGACAAATTGTCTTTGTCAGCCTTTTACATGCACTTCGCCCTTTATCGTACAACGAACGATGCTTCGTCATCACCACATGTAGGGATGGTATGTCTTCGATGTCAGTAGCCATTCACGTCGCTTTCGCCACTGTGCTCACATCGAGCTTTGGATCATTTCTACATCGAGCATTTGGTCGCGCTTTCAATTAAGCCGTGTTAATGCCTTCGTCACGTTCACGGCGTGCCCCCATCGTGCTACTGTCACGTAGAAAGGATATATCGCTCAATAACATACGACTTTCGAGCCTTAATGCACGACAAAATCGGGTTTTGGTCATTACGCCTGCACTTTGAACTTTTACCTTTTGTATGCTTGTCAGAAATACTTGACACTGAAAGAACGAAATTTTAGTTTACGCGCATCCCAAAAATAGATTTAAGAAATTACGCGGTGGCAAACGAGATCCGAACTTAATGTTATTGAGTAAAATAACTTCAAAAAACGGGTCCATTTTGCTGTGTCTTTACAACGCCAAAACAAAGACCTCAACCTCATAAACTCTGACCATTTTATCTGTTTACTATTCGGCGTAATGCGCATGTACTTTGATGTTTTTTGAGTGCGTTAAATCACGGTCCATTATTGAAGAGCGGTCAAAACATGAAGGTAAAGCTTGCGTCAGACAGTGTCACGCAACTTAGTGATTTCCTCGTTGTCTTGAAGGTGAACTTTGTACCCGACATAGCATATACTAGCGACCAAATGGAGAGATTTTGCGGAAACTCCAAAAACGAACACAAACAAAAAAAAGTTGTAAATGAAATAGACTTATTTCCACTTGTTCCGGCGAAAGATACCTCCTTCGACGAAGGAAATACATGAACTCCCCGCTAAAAAAGAAAACAAAAATCGTAGACGCAAACAGACATTAAACTGCTTCGCCAAAGAGGATTAGCACAAGTCCTTGAATTATTGAAACTTATGTTCCATTATGTTGCACATGAACTTTGCTCTCAACTTACATCGTGTAGTTCCAAAGTGCTTTGCTCTGTACACGCTTGTTCCTAGCTTCAGATAGTTTGGATTTTGACGGCGGCTTCAAAAACTTGAGATATCGCTGCCTTCTTCGAAGGGCCAGTGCCTAAAGTTACAAAATATTTGCGTCACATTCGAGCAGCAACATGCTACAGTTATCAACTGTAAACAATTGTAAACCAGCGATATAATGTTATGACAACATCGCCGGATATAACGACATAAAACTGAGAAGATCAACTTTTTTTTTCTATATTGCTATGCTTATGAAAATAAATTCTCACTCGGTTGTTCACACAAATGGTTTCCAAGTAATATAGAACATCACCATGGGAGTGTTTTTAATTGTGCGATGCTACCGCTATTCCGTTACGTGCGCTAGCGTGAGACAGAATTTACAGATCAGTTGGACAATCTTCTCAGTCAACCGGCCATTAAAACAACTACGCAAGACAACGTTTTCAGGTCCCGCCCACCCAGTCACTACGCCGGAGGAATTTGAAAACGGAGCTTTCTTTCTCCGGTTAGGCCTTCCGTCCACACTAACCAGTCAACGAAAACGGAGCTTTTCGAAAAAGCTCGTCAAACCGGAAAAATTTGGAAACGCCGGCTTCGCGTTTTAGTGTGAACAGAGAACATTTTGAAAAAGACACTGGTTCAAAAATTAGGGTACGATATTTCCCTTCCCGAGTTTTACTCAAACAAAAATCCAAAATGATCGGCGGTTGCTTTTTCATATTTTTCCGGCGTAATGTGAACGGAAAACATTTTGATGCGTTTTCAATTCCTCCGGCGTATTCTGGACGCGGCCTCAGTTTTTCAGTCAGTCAAAGACCCAACATCCGCGTGTACAACGGTTTAATGCCTTTCTTTTGTCAGTCTATCGAAGAATAAAAAACCGATCGCACGACGTCTTGACAAGTACGTTTGTTGGTTTTCCGCACTTCTCACATACAATAAGAGAATAACCACGCGTAAAAATTTGACATTTTTTGGTTCTTCTCACAACAACAACAACAACAACAACAACAACAACAGCAACAGAAACAAGAACTGTGAAAGAACGATAGGAAATGGAACCAAAAGGAAGCAACGGGAATCGATGGAAGGCAGAATTAGAGCAAAGAGTAGGGTCCGGAAGAAAAAGGAAAAAGTTGTGTTAAACCAATCACGCTCTTGTTAAGAAAATAATACATATATCTAACCTTAATTTACCCTCGGCATTGTTATAGCACAAGTGCTAGTGAGGCCGAGCAGACAACTGAAACAAATTATTCAAAGTAAACATAGCATTGTTAAGAATCCCAGCGGGCTGGAGGCAAACCAGTTGGCTATTTACAAGCGTGGCCGACCATCTGAACTCGGGGCTACCGAGATACAAATCCAGGTAGAGGTCAGAGCGGGACTCGAACCCGGAACCGCTGGATTGCGAGTCCGACACGCTGACCACTCGGCCACGCTGCCTCCCGTTTGGTTTGTTCTAGCTTACTGGATTGAAATGGTCATTCTCTCTGCCAGTGTCGTCCTCAAACCCTTGGTTAAGGTGACCATAGTGTATGTCGTGTAGAGCAGAAGACGACAAGTCTTCAAACCCTTCATCCACGTCTTCGTCTTCCAATCTTCTTTTGGACTTGTAGGCCATGTACAAGATAAAAGCAACAACCTGCAAGGATTCAAAATTATGACACTCAGTACAAAACGCATTTTAAAAAGTTCTTGGCTACGTATTTAACTATTTATGAACTTGAAGTTGTAGCATCATGTCATGTTTGTGGAGCTGATATTTCGAGAATTAGCCTTTCTTCAGGGCAAAGTGGAGGATTTTGGCTGTGTGCACGCTAAGAGAGTGGAGTAGAGAGTTCGTTATTAGAGGGAAAACAAACGTTGGTTGATCCCATGGGGAGCCAAGGTACCAAGCTGAAAGATTTCTTTTCCCGTCAGATATTTGCGACTTTCTGTACTGCCTTGATGAGGACAAATAACATAAACAATCATGCTGTTTCAAGAATCACCAGGAAGATCGAAAGCTTTGAAGACTTGTTTAGAAGTGTTCTTTACGTGCCTTTAATGTTAGCGAAAGTGATCTCCGAGTCCAGCTCCCGTTTCGTCAATGCAAAGCAACGGGAAGAGGACTAAGTGATCACTTCCACGAACTTGAACATTTAAGAGGCGGAACAAAACATGTTTTCCCTGGTGGCTTAAAGAGGGCTGCATGAGTTCTTTTGAGGCAGCAGTAAACCTAGGTAAGCACTAAAGTAAAACAAATGCATGGTTATTTTTCAAAGCTTGCAAACCACTCAAGACGAACTCACCATGATAGGCTGAGAGACAAGAAATGACTCCAGGAATGAGAACAATAACGACTGCAACCAGCGAATGGACAGGTCCCAGCCAAAACTGCAACAGAGAAGCAAAAACACGACACCTTTTAACAACAGCGGACGGTTCCTTGTTTACATGAATGACTCATTTAGCTTAAGAAACAGAAATAAATATCTGAACTAAAGAAACAAAAGCGGGAATGTTTTCCGCATCGTTACTCGATAACACACAGCCAAAAGCATGAATCAGTTGTTTGGTAGCATAGCCGAACGAAAAACACGGTGAAATACAAACGCGGACCACTGTTACAGTAATAATAAGGAGTTTAAGAAAACCACGACGGCAACGTTAACGGGAACCTCGCTTAACAAAAGGTTTATCGAACAGAAGAATGGCTGCACACGTGCGTTATAATTCTTGGTACATTTGTTTGCCGTCCTCTGCAAAACAACAACGTGAACCACGACGACTAATTTGTTAGATTTCTATTTCAAATTTATCGCTGTGTTCCAGAGTTTTGAGCTGGTTTTAACAGTGATAAACAAAGTAGATGACTTTAGGGTACCGCGAGATTCGTAGGTAACATATAAATTTATTTTATAATCGTCGTTTTCCTCGGCGTCACCGTCGAAGTTACTTAAACTCCCTAATAAAGCGTAACGCGGCCATGGCACCGTTCTTGCTTGGGAAACTAGAAGATGGCAGCTGTAGATTTTACCATAATGTCTTAGAGCCTAACATAGCTAATCAGGCAAATTGTTCAAAAATATGACTTTCTGTGGGCCTGATTAGCTAGGTTCGGTTCACAAGGCATTCGAGAGGTTAAGCATGACGTTGACGGCAGACGGCAAACGGCAAAGACAACTTCTGATTTTGAGTTCTTTTCTTCTAATCCGTAAGTAAAGCACACAAAAATGGAATAACGTGTCCTACTATTCATTGCAAATACAAATAACTTCACCCTACTGTACATACAGCTGAAGAGAGACGGCAAAAGTTTCATTTTTGCCGTTTGCCGTTTGCCGTAAACGTCATGCTTAACCTCTTTGTTGTGGTAAAATCTACAGCTGCCATCTTTTGTCAAAACAACATTGTGTATGCTACGTTTGAAGTTTTTAGAACTGTGCGCTTTTACGAGCGTTTTAAAGTTCTTGTGCGCTAACCATGTTACCTGAAATTATGGCTAAATATATCAGTCACCATCTCTCGCGTTGCTTCTGAGCTGTGTTTACCTGCTCTCTTAGAAACTCTACAGAAGAAGTGTGTTGAGTCTATGTAGCCTGCGAGCAGGCTCACCTTTGAGCCACACCCGCGAGCGGCGAAGCAGTTGTCCGTTTCGTAAACGGTCGATGCCAATTTCGCGACACTTAGAAACTTTTTAACTATCAACCAATTTTTCTCTACGAAATTAAAGCAAAAAGAAAATTTGTAAGTACCTACCCAGTATCGAACCCGAAACCTCTGTTTCCTAACATCCCTCTTCTACCACTACACTACCAGGTAGATCCGCCAAATCTCCGCAAAATTTAATTATAAAATGTGACTTGCTTAAATATTAATGATAGAGTTGTCCCAACCATCAAATAAAAGCTAACCGAAAGCAAACCAGTGTGAATATCAACAATCAAGCATTTGACGAGCGCGTTTTACTCAAGCAACAAATTAAAACCAGTTTCTACCTTGTCCAGGCCTATACTAAAGCAGATATGGCATCGTCCATTCTGAAAGGCTCGGCTACCAATGATGGCATCGACCGTTAAAAATGGCATCGACCGTTTACGAAACGGAAATCAGCAGCGGCGAGGAGCAAAGCGATCCGGCGGGAAGGCTTTCTCGCCTCGCGACTTCGCCGCTCGATTTCGCGCTCGCGGCTACGCCGCGCGTGCTTGTGCTCCAACGTGAGCCTGCTCCTAGGCTTGAGTCTGTGCGTTTTTCCATTTTCCCATTTTCCTGGACGAAATTGCTATTTTATTGACGGTCGTTATTACCAAGGAAATTAAATTCAGGCAAATTCGGTGCCACACCATGACTGCAAGGATACGTCACTGGAGGTTATGATGCACACTAACGTGGACTAAATTTGACAGCGCACTTTGCTGGCTATGTTATAATAGGTTTTGGTCCGTGAAAATGAAAACAGTGACATACCAGAACTAACATTTTGTGACTACCTAAAACATTTCGTGACCACCACATACTGGACACGGGAATCTTGAATGACATGATCGATTGCAGTGTTCACAAGACAGCTCGTTACTCTATAAATGACATCATTGAGTTATAGTAATTCCCATGCTTCACTCACCTCACTCCATACAAAACCGTGAACACGCCAGCAGTGACAGCGGTCAGCAGACAACCGACCCAGGCCACGTACACACAGACATGCGGCAACGAGAAGCGCGACCGATAACCACCGCTCCCTTCAGACGCGGTTGATGACAAAGATACGCTGTAGATGCTTCGCTTCTCGAATTCCAATGACTTTTTCTTGCCTGGAGACACGTCAGCAAGGAATTCACAGGTCTCTACTAGGGCCGCGTGACTCTTGGCCAGCGGACGATCAGCGGAGCTCAAAGTACCCTGGCCTGAATTGTAACCCAGACTTGTGCTATCTAATGGGAGAGAAACAAGGCATAGGTATTGCAAAAATAAAATACATATATCAAATCACGCTACCTTTGGCCCTCTAACAGGCCAAGGAATTTCCCAATTTTTGCCTAAAACTGGCGCAGAACGAGCGTAACCGTGTTTCACTGTAGTTCTGGCCCCCTCTTACTTGTTCAAAGGGTGGATGAAGCAGCTCTGGGTAAATCAAATCCATTGGAAATCGAATTTTGCTTCGTCAACACTCCTCCATTGCAGAGAGGCACATTCGCGTTTCAAACAACTGGACGGGGCACATTTTGAGGCATCATTTCTCCAGTCCCGAGACCAACCGAGCAAAAAAAAGTCGCTTTCAATAAACATCTCATAGAAATTCATGACAAGTGCTTCTTAACTTAGCTCGTTGAAAAGCGTCAACACTTAGGTGGATTATTTCAGTGTTGCCTTAAAGTGAATATTCTTCAGTGATACGACAAAAACCCAAGCATCTATCTGACAATGCTACAGGTTTCTTCTGATCAATTTTTGTTTTTTTTTTTAGTTTTGTCTTTCTGTACCTGATTCACTCTCAAGGGATTCCACTGAGCGACAGGAACACGTATCTGAACGCACGTCATCCTGAAAGATAAATACAAATTCGAACTATGTGAGTCCATCAGATATGATAATATAGACAAGCAATGTCCTATCGCGGGGGACGGGGGGCGGNGGGGGTGGAGAGCGATGGCCTATTGTCTAGCCCTCTGGCTTTCAGATCAAAAAGGCTGGTCTCTTAGTCTGGTTCAAGTCTTACCGGGTCTTAAACGATCTTCAGCAAAAAAAAAAAAACGACAACAACCAAAAAATTCTCAAAGTGCTTGTCGATTGGTGTCATGACTAATGTCCAACACTTTGATGACAAATGTGGCACTAACCATTCTTTTAAACGACCTCCGTGCAATCACTTAGCTCTGAATCGGGAATTTCAATATAACAGTGAGCTGAACTTTCAAACCCGAAAAGTAAACTAAGGAGGCGGCCTGGCCTAGTGGTTATGCCACTAGATGGATTTGTGTTTGGTGGTCCCAGATTCAACTCCTCCACGCTTTGTAAACAGCCAACTGGTCAGCCTCCCACCAGTTGGGATTTTCAACAAGTTTCTGTTTAATTTATAACATTTGTTTCCTTATTTCAGTGTCCTCAATTAGTACAGTAGTAACAAAAACTTCGACAGATTTATTCATTTATTTTTTTTTATTTAACTATGAACTTACCAATTCCCAAACAGTTTCAAACCATCGCTTTCTTTCTCCGATGTTCTTCAAGATGAGTACAGTTTCCAGCGACTGGTCAAGAACTATGGAGCAAATTCCAAGGAAAAAAAATATTCTCCTTACACTAAATTTATTATTGGCGAATAAGAAAGAAAAAGTCACGCACTCCACACAAAAACAGATTCACGTTACTCGCTCATTAATCTCTTTCGAGGGCTCTCGTTTTCTGTTGTGGTCACACAATACTTTTCGTGATGACCAAATAACGCATATAGAGCATCCTTTAACATCTTTTTGAAGTCAAAAAGATGCATGTGACAAGCAATTGGCATGCTATTCCTTGAGACAAAATCAAGAGTTGTCGCTTGAGGCAAAGCCAGGAGGTGTGAAGGTGAAATACAGAGTGGCCTGGTTTTCTTGTGGAAGAACGAGGTGCAAGCGTACAAGTCCTCGTGTACCACACGCGTGTACTACACGTGTGTACCACACTAACTTATTCTTGAGTAATTATAAAATTAACCTGTTGTCATGGCTTTCGATGTTTTCCTTACCTGAAGATGATACAAGCTCTGTGGTGTCCGTTTGCGGCTCAGAAATCATGGGATATACTTTCACACGATGACGAAATGATCGCTATAAAACAATAAAAAAATCGTTACCAAAAGAACAAAAAATGGTATAAGATCAACTGTTTTCCGAGTGCGGAGGGGGTCCCCACTAGGGTTTGTAGCTGATAGGGGAGAGGGGTGGGACCAAAAGCTGGACAGCTCTATGTGCTCACACAATGGTCAAGGAATGGAGATTTCTATGACGGCCATTACAGGCTACTGATCGAAAACATTCTCAATCCTTCTCAGTCTTTCCCGGTTTTATCCATCCGTGTTAATTCTTGGTTTATTTCTGCCTCTTAAAATTTCGTCTATCTCGGTTATTTATTATTCCCATATTTCCAACGATTTCAAAGCAACTTTTGATGTCAATGCAAACTCACTCTGCTGTATCTGAACAGAAACACCCACAGCAGGTTAACAGGTAATGCTACAATGCTGCACAGGACACCAATCCATATGCTCTCCCAGGTGACGTCAATGAATCCTAGCACTTCTGGAACCTGTAGAAAATTAAAGCCGTTGGTAAAACTCCTCGTTAAGATGGGAAAAGTTCAAACTAGCGACAGGTAAAACAATAACTTTCAAAGCTCTTCTGGAGACGATAAGATTTGTGGTATAAAAAGTTATTTATCCATTCGCATAGCCTATGTTTTTGTTTTGACTTGCATTGCTTAAAATTATTACATTCTAGAGTGGTCTACTTCTTACATAAAAGGCCATGAACAGCCTAAACGCAAACAACTTGAAAATCTAGCCATTTCCAGGTTGCTTTTTATCTCACTTTTCCAAATGAACCCTGGTGCACAACATTCATTGATTTGCTAGACAATGAATGTGCAAGAAAAACTCATTTCCATATGAAAGGTTGAGCACCAAGACTCGTTTTGAAACAGAGGTACGTGCAACTTCGAAATAACTTACTGTTATGACTACAAGGACGTACCTCAGTTTTCGGCCTGTACCAGGCTATGTTGACACAGAAAAAGCTGAGCAGTAGGGACAGACTACAGGTCAAGCGCTGACAGAACAAACACAAAACTGTTAGAATGGTCATGAGATAATTTCGCTCCATTACCGTTACTAAGGCCCAGTTCACACTACCGCGGAGGAATTTGAAAACGGAGGTTACACTCTGAAAACGCATCAGATGTTTTCCGTCCACAATACGCCGGAGGAATTTCAGTCAGGGAAATGACACTACTGCATCGTTTTCGAAAAGCTCCGTTTTCCGACAAAATGTATTCCGTTCACACGAAAACGAAAAGCCGGCGTTTTCCAAATTCGTCCGGGTTAATTTGAAGAGCTCGTTTTCGTGACGGATTAGTGTGGACGGTAGGTCTAACATTAGAAATAAGGCTGCGTTTTCAAATTCTTCCGGCTTAGTGTGGACGGAGCCTAAAGGGCTACGAAAGAGTAACTTTCACATTTATCACATAATCGAAAGCTTTGTCCTCTTGTATGTGACCATTCAAATGAAAGCTACATCCACCTGGTACTGTTTATGACGCTGTACAAGGTGATTCTAACTTGTAAGTCTGTTGATGAAATCCTAGTGTGTGACCATTCAAATGAAAGCTATTACACTGTAGTTCCGTGTGATACTGTTTGTCATGCCCTGCAAAGTGATTCAAACTTTGGCATCTGTAGTTGTAATCCAGTTGGTGCACGAGGAAGCACTACTCATGATATGCTAAAAAATAAAACAAAAGGATTTCGATTTTGTGGACTTGGGCAATCTTTTTTACCTGTGCACGTGAGAACCTGCTGTAAGACGGCCGTCCAAAGAGTGAAAACCACAGGTGATAGTCCAGAATGCCCTTTGAGAAGTGTTGGGAAAAGCGCTGAAAGGGAAAAGGGAAGGATAAGAAACAAAAATGAAAAAGCAAAATTAGGGTCAAGATATACAGAGATGCTGAATTCACTGCATTTTGGGCGCTAACAGTATGCAACAACACAGTAAGTGGTTTGATAGTGAAGACGATTCCCACGCAAGTTGTTTAAGCATCTTTTCAATACTACTTGCACTAGTTTCTGAAAGGCAGGGAACTTGCCAAGAAATGCGTCGGACAATGTGTCGGTACCCTTAAACACATTGCAGGTCTAATGCTAACCAAAAGTACTTGTTATGCCTCCCAACTCAAATATCGTTTCCGATTGGAGGAAAACGTGTCACGTGCCGTGGGTCAAGACTCACTAACTCCCCAGGGCGAACAAAACTCACTAACTCCCTAAGGAACCAACAACTTGAACTTTCGACTCGCACGTGATCAGGTCGTGCTCCTTGAAACCGCGGCAAATATGTGAGGCAGCCGGCGTAAAGCAAACGATTTCTTCGCAGTTTTTTTTTTTTTTTTACTTTTGAGTTGGGAGGTATAACAAAGCTCTTAATGACTGGCCCCGGGGGAAACAGTGAGTTTTGTTTCCCCTCGACCTTGGGGAACATTGATGGTCCAGCCATTTAAGTGCTTATCGTTACCAAATAAAACAAAGTACAATCACGTGCTAGTATAGTGCAATGAGGTGACGTCATGTTGCTTTGCAACGTCGCTGACCAAAACTCTGGGCTCAATAATTTCTCGAAGATAAAGTTTTCATTTTTCTCTGACTGGGTTCTTGTTTTAACTGAATAACCAGAATTACTTACCATTTTCAAACTGCTGGAATGTTTTGAGGTCTCCTTAAACTCGCATTCAACCTGAAGGATATGATAAGCATAATAAGCATATCAAAATATCCGCATTTATTACTTAGTTAATTATGATAATGTATCTTTGCTCTTGTATACTAATTGAAAAAACGTTAATCCCCAGTAGGCTCGGCTGTCACTTGAATGTCGAAATTCGTATTTGCTTTGGTATTGCATTACTACGCTAAAAGGATTGGCTAAAAAAACTCGTCCTTTTGTCATCCAATTAGAATTAAAACCAAAACCAATTGTGACTTGTTCGCACACGTTTTCCCGCGCTTTGCTTCTGCTACATGTAATTACTTGGAGTTTTGATTGGTTCAGTGGATTGTCTGCGTCCTCTGTGATTGGCCAGAGTGATTACTTTGGTTTCGGTTTTACGGCACTCAGCTAAAAGCTGCTTTGTACTAATCAAGTAGAACTTGTACCTTTCCGTCTTCTTCATCAACAGCCAGCCACCTGTTGCAGTTGAAAAACCTATTGAACAAACAAACGCAGCCAATTTAGGCCCCCTTTGATCAAATATTCTATTTAGATCGGTGATAAACTTCTGGTTACCAAAAAAAAAGAAAAAGCCATTTTCCCACCCCTTTCAGAACAACGTCTGTCTTCAACCTATTGTTTCCTGGACAAAAAAGAAAAAAAAAACAGTTTCTGTTTCCTCAAAGGGTCAATGCCTCTGTGATTCAACTTCAGTATAAAGATATTGAATTCTGTTACAGTAATTGTACTTGTTTTCTTCGAGGATATACACGTCTTGAACATACTATTGGTGTTGCTAACAAATATTAAAAGCTCTTTTGTTTAAACCAGATTAGGCAATCTATATGTTAGTTGGTCAACGTTTCCCGAGCTCCTCATTGTCAGAAGTTCTTCAAAAAAGAAACACAGCCTCGCAAACAAATTGATAGCATCAGTGTCATTACATGTAAGACGCTGCAGCAAAACGTGAAAGCAATATTCACAAATATTTATTTTGAAGTCAACTCGGGCAACGAGTTGCCATGCATGTGTTTAAGAAAACTTCAGCAGACGTGCCTAAGTTCTGAATGCATTGATTGACCATGAAGCAGGGATCGAGTTAGCTCCTTTCACTCTCCCTGATGACCAAGGCCCTGTCAACACTGCGCCGGAGAAATTTGAAAACGGAGGTTTCACCCTGAAACGCATCCGAGCGCCGGAGGAATTTAAAAACGCAACAATCAGCGGTGGTTTTGGATTTGTCGTTGAGGAAAACTCGGACATGACAATCACGTGGTTATCGCGACGCCATCGTTTGCGAAAAGCTCCGTTTTCAAAATGTTTTCCGTCCACAAGAAAATGAAAAGTCGTCGTTTTAGAATGCCTCCGGTTTGAGGAGCGTCAAAAAGTTCCGTTTTCGTGACAGATTAGTGTGGACGGTAGACCTAAACGGAGAAATAAAGCTGCGTTTTCAAATTTCTCTGGCGTAGTGAGGACGTAGCCTAAATATTACATCTAGTTACATCTTTGCTTCCATCAGGTTAATTTCAACCACAAAATCAGTACCCTTCCCCACCCCCATAATAAAGTTAATGGGCCAGGTTAATAAGTACGTTCCTGATTCTGTATTGTCCTTACCATTTTGAACCATTGTTCACATTTTTGACAATAACGTGTTCCAGGAACCAGCTTGGGTGATCCCCTGAGTTGTCGTGCCAGATGTGGATTTTCGAGATACTACCAAGACCCTTTCCAGGTAAACTGAAACAGCAACGATATTGTTAAGTCAGTTTGCTTTATACTCGTTGAAGTTTCTAAAACATTCCTAAACAAAACAGACAAACAAAACACACAAACACACAAACAAAACAGCGGGTTATTCAAGACACATTTCCCTCCAAGGCTTAGAACCTTCTTCCCTCTAAATTTGACGAAAAGAAGTGGCAGACTTTTATGCTGGAAAATTCGAGGTTCCAAACTCCCACGTGGTCTGTAGTCGGGTCATGACTACAAAATACTGTAATTAAGGCGTGCAGCCATCTGAAACGTCGCAAATCTTCGGCTGTCAAAGACAAAGATCTTTCGCTAGCGAAATTCTAAAACTAAAGCTGGCACAATCCAACAAGGATTCTGTTTTTATCATTTGTTAGAAACTAGAGCAAAAGTGATCCAAAAAGGGCACTCTCTTTATCATTTCAAAGGTAATCGAGCGAGCGCGATCTGAAAATTTAAAGCATCACCTTTATCTTCCTTTGAAGCACTGAAACCAAGGAAGGCTACTAAAACGCATCAACCAAACTTAATAAGCCCAAGGATTTCCTTTTCTCTATACTACCAATTTTGAGAAATAAAATTGGCAACAAAAGGTCTCACCGTTCAAGGTCTGTTTGTCCTCCTACGCCGCGACAAGGATATTTCCACTCTGCGCGATGAACAAACACATCACAGGAACTTCTTTCGAACAGAGGTTTGCCTTTGGCCGACTTCAACTCAATGGGATCAGACATCCAGTCGTCGCCATGGAGTGTAAGAAAAACCTAAACAAAACCAACAGTTTGTTAAGAAAAGACCTATTCTGGAGGAACCACAGGAGAAAAAAAAATGCTGCCTGATGATTGGCTCGTTTTGAGCATGCGCATACAAGTTACCTTAGAATCCCTCTTCTACCGCCTACGTCCAACCCGTTTACAGCGCGCAGAAGGGACAGTTTAGCGACTGGACCAACATCCTTCAAATGCAATACATATTGAAGGCAACCTGTTTAGTTGCGCTTTGGAGTTAGAACAACTTTTATCCTACACGGAACTGACCATAAACACACCAAACAGTCTTTCGAGTGTTTAACATATACCGTGTTTGGCATACACTTGTTTACGAGAATGTCGTCGACAAAGAAAATCTTTGATGTTTTCTTTCATAATTATTTTCATAATATCATGAGTGACAAATCACTCCTTAATTTTGGCGCGAAATTTCAGCGTCAATTCATAATTTCAGATGTGAAATTACAAAATTGCCATGGCAATGTTTAGCGCGAAATTTCTTGAAACAACAAACAAGTCAAAAACCGATTGTAAGTGTAATTTGTCTCCCATGATATCAAAAGGTAATCAAATGGTATACTTGTGAGAAAAAAAAAAACTTCACTTGTCTTTAGGCAATTAAAATTATTTGAATTTTGCGACAAGACACACCTGAAAGTATTTCCTAGTTTCACTCGTCACCATTTGATTACCATACTAATAAAACGTATTCCTTGCCTGTTAAATGCCCGGGGAGTCCAACTAGCTATCAAAAGCGTTTGCGAATCAATTGAAGAAACACATGACAATTTACAAACTAGTTAAACCACTTTCATTAATACACTGTCACAGGTCAAAACACTTTAACCACTTACATTAGCAGATGTTCCTGCTCCAAACCAGTGGCCAGTCTGTACAGTAATTTGAAACCTGAAATCAAATACTTGGCATTATCATGGTAGCCTCTTGCAGTAACGTGTGGGAAGTGGGCCAACAAGAGGGAAAGTCTGTGTTCATACTTAATGACCCGTTAGGCATGCAATTATCTCCAGTTTTCGCAGCATTAGGCAACTAGGNCATCAGGTCTGTGCTTATTTCTGGTTTCAGTAACATGAAGCAACTAGGAGCATTTCCACTCCTCCCTGGATGGGTCTCTCGCAGAGTTACCCCCCTAGCATTAAATTTGCTGTTACCCATATTAAATTCGTCAGTACCCATTTATACACCTGGATGGAGAGAGGCTCTGTGAGAGTGAAGTGTCTTGCCCAAGAACACAACACAATGTCCCCGGCCATGGCTTAAACCCAGGACTGCGTGATATGGAGTCCAGTCCACTAACCACTAACCTTCCCGACGTAGGTTAATATCGGTAATGTCAGACGATATTAAGTCAGACAAATAGCATCACTGTGTATTACCTCTGACAGATGCCACTAGTTACGTTTTCACTGAAGTAAACAGCTCCCAGCTTCTTCTTGTCATGCTTGTCTGCCCGAACACAGAAGCCAAGCAGCACCAAATAGAGCGCCACGATGCTAATGACAAGAGCCAATGTCGCTGGACTGTTCTTTAACCTGTTGGAAGAAAAACGCATTGTATAAGAGAAACAAACGTGAAGGAGATTCACAAGGTGGATACAAACTCAAAGGAGACCAGTCATGGTATTTTAGCCCCGTAAAAAAATCACCTTTACATTGAAGGAAATCTGAAAATAACAGTTTATCAAAACAGAAGAACACCAAAGAGATAATAATGAACCATAAAGGAACAAGGATGATTAAGGATGGAAAAGATTAATACGGATTACAAACGACGAACTTCAAAAATTTGGGGTTGAACTTTTCAAGATGCCCAAACCGTGAAGAAACTCCTTTAATTTGCTTGAGTTCCAATCAACCACACGCATTCCCCCAACTGCAATTCCCAAACCAAAATAACCATGTCTTAAAGGAGCTCAGTCACGATATTTTGAGTTATTTTGGCCTCATACAAAATTACCTTGCAATGAAACCTGAAAATAACAGTTTAATAAGATAGATAAAGACCAAAGAGATAATAATAATCCATAAAGGAACAAGGATGGCTAAGGATGGAGAAGATTGAAGAAAATTACCAGCAGCAAACTCAATCAAAATGACGCTCACAACTGGAATATATGTCCCAGCCCGGGATCTTTTCGAGCACTGCCTGGCCACCCACAGAACATATGCAGAGGATACAATAAAGGGACTGGTCAAAAAGTATCGGGGCGGGGGAGGGCGGTGGGCTGGAGCAGAGAGGGGGTGGGTCATCAGTTTTTGAGCCCTCAGAAAGGGGTGGGTCGTTCGATTTTCAGCGACACGTGGAGGTGGGTCATCCTATTTTAAAACCGGAATAGGCACTTACTTAGAAGTACTGTTTTTAAGAATGGAAAGCTTGATTCTGCTGCAAAAGTTGGCCACACATTTAGAGCGTAGCAGCGTTACCGATGTGTAATTTATTTTCGAACGCATTAAAATTACATCTAGCCGAAATTAAAATGATAAAAAACCTCTCTTTTGTGCCTTTTTAACATATAAAAAGTAAAAATTGTATACAAAATAAACTAAAAGAGTTTATACATGCTCTTGCATCTGTTTAAGAAATAAATCTAAACGTACGGACAACTTCATACAAAAGTGTTGTTTTCATTGACTTATGCAAACCAAATTTTTATGTTTTATAAGGGGGGTGGATCATGTAATTTTAAACCTTTACTTAGGGGTGGGTTATTAATTTTGTTCCAAAAGGAAGGAGTGGGCCACGTGTTTTTTATCCACCACATTTCGAAATGCTCCGGCCCACCCCTCCCCCCCCCCCTATCCTTTTTGACCAGTCCCTAACTATCACTAAAATACTCACTTATCAGCGTCTGTAAGGTCCTCGATTGTCAGTGAGTTGGGTGGGTACACAAACGCACCACTGAATGCTGTTAGATGGTTGCACCTGACGAAAACAGACACACAAACGAATTAGCAAATATTACACGACAATCACCAGTATAACATATGGGTTATTGACCAAACGTAAGGTCAAGATTGCTGAATATTTGGCCAACTTCTTTTTTGCGTGTTTATGGACCGAGCCGAAGTCGAGGTCCATAAACATGCAAAAAAACAAAACAAAAAAAAAACAAAAAAAAAAAACAGGAACGAGGCCAAAATCCAGCCATCTTGACCGAACAAGCTTGGTCAATAAAGGAGTTATTATATGGGAACACACTTTTCTCGCGGGACACAGCGCGTAATCCCGAGCGGGCAAGATAAATCTGAGAGTAATCTGGAAGAGTCACCCATAGTTTCAGCTTAGCAACAAAAGCAACACCCAAAGCCTGTACACAAGCAGCTGGTTTCAGTATTCCTACAGGAAATGCTTGAGCGAAATCACATTTAACGTTGCCCGCGTTTACCTGCAGAAAAGCACTTCATCTGTGCTCTGGTCCATCACTTCACATCCATCAGTTGACCAATCCTTGATCTCTGTGTTCCAGTAAAAACAGCCCTTCCAGTGGACACCCAACGAGTAGCTTAAGCTCGGGCCTTTCTTTATCTAAGTCAACAAAAACGCGAATAGGTTCACTTTCGAGCGGTTTTCAAAACCAAAACAATAACAGATTTGCACGTTGTCGTCATTTGACAACAACTTCCTGATTAGCATAAGAAACAGAAAATGTGAAAGATTCTGGTAGATTTAGTCAAATGACGCCATCGTACAAATCACCCGTTACTTACCAATAAAACTACTAGCACTCAGCCAATCTCAAACCGTAGTTAAACCAAAACCAAAACCAGAGTAATTACCACAAGCTCTTGCCCACCAAAAAAGTCATGCATAACCTAAAGGCGAGAACAAAATTTCACGCCCCAGAAAATTGTCCAACCACCCCCNAAATGACTTCATGGCTCTAATGTCAGCAATCACAGATCTCAGAAAAGAGGAATGAGATTCATGGGACCAGCAGTGGTCTGCATAGTGCAATCCTGCGCTTTTCAAAGCTGATAAAAAAATATGTTCCTACCGACTTAATACGGTAAAATGCCGTGTCTTCCAATAGCACTTTCACATTCACTGACCCTGAAGCTGAAACAAATAAGACTATAAGCCAAATCGGAGTTTCAAGAATCAGTGCAGTGCACGTGCGCTTTTATCCCTAATTTATTACAATTTTCTTTTGATTTCTTTTTTGAATAACAAAAGAAGAGAATAAATTAGGGATAAAAACGCGCTGATTCTTGAAACTCCGATTTGGTTTATTAGTTACCAAAAAAAAAAAAACCAGGAAACTGCTAGAGATGTCAAAGAGTGAAAATATACCTCAACACTGGTATGCTAACCACGGAATGAAAATGGAGATGTACGGAAAATTAAAGTTGGCTAAAATCTGCTTAAAGATGGCCGGTCATCCAACTTAACGCTACAACTTCAATGCCGTTTTAGGTTTAAAAGACGACGTTGACGCTACGTGCGTAAAGTTGACGTAAAGCTGCGTGAAGTTGACATATAAGTGACTTAAAGTTTCAGTTTCTTTAACGAAGCTTTAAAATAAACGTGAGCATAAAGCTAATGTGTGGCTCATCTTTAAAAAAACGCGAAGACAGCGAAAGACTCCTCAAATAAGAAATTTACGACAGCATTTCGCCAGCTTCACACAGCAGAAAGATTTTCTTACGCCGTGAGCTGTGAAGCTCTGGGCGTTAACTTTAAGTTACCATTAGTTAGCTGTTCATGGCTCAAGTAGAAGTCAATGGCCGTCCCTGAACTCGTCTCTGAGTACTCAATGCGATTCTCTGAGGATGAATCTGCACTGGCAGTGCTATAAAAACAAATTGTAAAACAAGAAATCAATCATTTGTCTGTTGATTAAATAATAATGAGGTAATCATCGCAACATACCTGCTAAGAATGAGTTTGACAACAAATCCAGGTGCCAAGGTGGACAGTGGTTTAAAATGGATCTGCAGCACCTGGTTTATCCTCTTTTCTGTTTGGTTTATAACATGATTATTTTCATGGTTCCAGTGTAACAAGTATTCCTTCGTAAATTGTTCGACCTGGCAGGAAAGACGGAATAGTCACTTCAAAAACTGTTGTTCCAGAAAACATTGATATCCGTCCCACGGGAGGTTTCTTAGTTTCGGTCTCTCACCCCTGGGTATTCTAGTATCTTTTCATTCCCTCCCTCCCCCGCCCTCGCCGCCAACTCAGAATTGAAACAGTAGCAAAGGTAGTACAAATGTTGAAAAGTATTTTATTAAGGTTTTGTCGAGAGCCGAAATAAGCCGAAGGTTCAATTAATGACTATAACAACATCGTTACCTTATGATTTCCGTGAGGTATTGAGATGACAATACTACTGCTCAGATTTCGCACTTCTATATCTTCTCCATAGCAGTTACTGATGCTCAGGCTACCAACTTTGGTGTGATGCTGAAACAAAATGAAAACGTAAGAGATCAACTTCAAAACCATGGATAGCATAGGAAGATTCTTTTACTTAAGATTCAGTTTACTAAATAAATTCTACCAAAGCTAACCAACAAAGAATCTTTATGTTAAACCAGGTGAAACTAAACTGGTATCAACATTATTTCTTCAATAGGGTAGTTAAGTCATGGAATGAAATAGTGGAAGCTGATAGCTTTCATATAATATTTAAGGAGGCTAGCAACAGTTTCCAGCACTTTTCTAACAGCTACACTTTGAAGGATGAATACTACCAGTCCACTGTTTAACAAGTGATGCTACAATAATGGTATCATACAAAATATACGTCTTGGAAAGTGCTGGAAACAGTTGCGAGCCACCTTAAATCAAAATTGAAGCCTCTCTTGAGAGTTTAATGGTTTGTTTGATTAAATGTTTGAAAAGCATAATCAAAAAATGTTAAAAGACAAGCCATTCCTTTCAGATTCTTACCATGTCACTGAAGAAGGGATTTTCTTTATAAACAGTCATCATAGTTCCATAACACTTCCCTTCTTTCCCATCAGATACAGTGTTGAGCTGCTTCTCAAGGTTTGTGGGCATGTGAAATTCGACATCACCGAGAGAGAAAAGTGAATTGCTGATAGAAGTCAACTGTGTTGCATTCACCCAGATGTTAGGTGTAGTTAGGATAAGGGGCGCTTCTCCGAGAACTTGCACCGACAACTTGGCCTGAAAACAACAAACTCGTTTATTGAGCATACATTAACTTACATTATGATATAGCTACAATCCCGGACAAAAGTAGTTGGGACACTTAGCACGTATCCCCCATCCCCCCCCCCCCCCCCCCCCCC